ATTAATCAGCAGTTCTTTTCTCAGTTGATAACTAATATTGAAGTTTAAAAATCAGTTATAGTGTGGCGGGCTGCGCCTGATTAATCATATAGACTATTCTGTTACACTTCATAGATTCTTCCGCTTCACTCTCGAACACGTACACTCCGATTCTCAGTCATTCTCGATCACCAATCCTCGGCTGCCATGAACATGTATGCTCCGATTCTCGGCCATTCTTGATCACTGATCCTCAGCCGCCACGAATGTGTATAGATTCTTCCACCCCAAAGCTTCACTGTGTATGCCATCACATATGTGTATAAATATTCATCTCAATTACTGATTCTCACACTTTCTCTTTCTTTCCTTCTCTAATGTTTTTCTCTTTGTTATATAAGACCTATTAATATAATACTGATCTATTCAGTGTAGGCCTCTTATACTAGAAAAACATCTTGGAGGATAACATTATTGTGTTGTAATCTAACTACGCGAGTTACACTAAATAGGTTGAGGTGGCATGTGACTAGGGTAGGTGTAGTAATCACCAACACTCTCCCTTGCTACACTGTGGTCTATAAGCCGCCACCCGGGGCCTCCCTCATCCTCAAATCTTTCAAAAATGCAATAATAATTAATTACATCAATTGGACCCTGATTTCCTCATTAGAAAAGACATCTGTACAGCAATAACTGTAAAAATCAAGAAATACATGCAAAATCCATTGATTCACTGTATCATCATTATCATTCAATCATTTCTTCTTCTCAATTTCCTGAATGTCAATCCTTTTGACAAATTCTTCAAATGCAGGCTTTGTCAGTGGCTTGATGAGCTCATCAGCTATGTTTGCTGTAGAATCAACATGTTTCATCATAATCTCTTCTTTTTCAATCAAATCATAGAGAATATGATATCTAATCTCAATGTGATGTGATCTTCATATTAAGAATTCCCTCTTTGCTAGATCAATTGCTCTCTTATTATCAACTTATAGATATGAGCATATTTTCACTTTTTCATTATTCATCAACTCAGTATCATATAACATATCATTCAATCAGATTATTTCACAAGCTGTCTCACTAGCTGCAATATATTCAGCTTCTGTGATTGATTTAGTAATAGATGTCTGTCTTTACAACTGTCATAAGATCAGTGACTCATTAATCAATATAACATAGTCAGTAGTCAATTTGTATTGAGAATCTGCCTCTGTTCAGTTCAAATCACAGTATATCACAGAACTCAGATTCACATCACTGATCTCCTTTCTGTATAATATGTCATGATTTTTCATCTTCTTGACATAACATAGGACATGCTTCAACACTGCTCAACATGCTTTGTGTGAATGTGAGTTAAAACATGAGAGATAGTTGATCATGAATGCCAGATCTGACTGACTGCTTGAGATCAAATACTGCAATGATCTCAATTCTTGATGATATCTTATAGCTGTAAAGTCATCATTCAATTCATCATTCTCATCAGATGAAAACTTCAGTTATATACTCATCATCATTAAGGTCTCTGCAGGATTCATCTTATTTATATCAAAATCTTCAAGAATCTTCTCAATATAACAGCTCTGTGTAACTGCTAGATTGTCATTTCTCTGGTATTTGATCTTCATTTCAAGATATAGCTTGATCTCTTTAACATTCTTTGTCTCAAATCTCTTTACAATCTCTTTCAATACTCAGTCTAATTGCTGTTCTTGAGATTCTGTCATCTGACAATCATTGACATGCAATGTCAGATAGATCTTGCAAACAGAGTGATATAGAAATCTGTCATTATAAGATGATATCTTGAATCTCAATGTAGTCAGATGCTCTATTGTGAGAAAATATCATACTCTTATAACTTGCTTCATTTCATATAAACTCTGACAGAGTAATCTCATCAAGCTCTCTCTATCATACTTAACATCTGTGAACAGTTGTATATAGATCATCTTGTTCTGTGATAGTATATCATTCAAAAACACAGATATATAGTCAATCAATTTGATCTTTCATTCTTTGACAGTTGATATAGTAAATAGGCTGTGTGATGTAGACTCTGATATCACTGCAGCATATGATCTCATATAATGAATACCCTGCTGTTGCAACAACTCTCTAATCACTCAGCAAGCTCTAAAACAGATGATTTCTCTCTTATTATTGAATTTTCAATCATATATTCATTTATCTGTAAGAATATTCATTTTCAGAGCCTTCTCAATGATAATATATATCTTCTTCTGTTCAAATATCTTAATCTTCTTTTTCATTGTCTTATGTCAATAGTCTCAGTCTGAGCTTCTTTTGACTTTCACCAGCATAGTTGATCAGTCTGTCAGAACACTTAGAACAGAATCATTCTCATTAACAGAGTCTTCAGACTCTTCATTTATAACAAGCTGTGTCTCATTATCTAGAAGATAGATTAAATCAATTACACTCTCTAAGTTCTCATTAACAATTATCTTCAAAACATCTGACTTTTTCTTCAATAGATGTTATAGTAAGCAGTGCTGTTATCTCTCTCTGACATTCAGAATGTTCAATTCATTAGACAATTCATTGAATTCTCTCACTGTATTCACAGATGTATTTACACTCATATCAAGAGCTTTATTAAATATGATATCTCATGCAATCTCAAGACAACATGCAACAGAATCTCACACACAATATTGATGTAATTCTTGATATTCAATCAGCTGTCATTTCTTATTATCAGTTCTATTCATGAGCTTATTCAACACTTTTAAATCCTTCTTGTAGATCTTGCACTCTCATCTCTGTATTCAATGAACAGAAGATTGCATCTCAGTTCATGCTTTAAAAGATGTAAGTGATGTTTCTTTCTTACATTCAAATATCTTTATTAATGTTGAGAATGTGTTGATCATCATGATTGCAGCTTGTATTACTTCATCTCAAAGTTCTCTTTCTAATTCACTATTAAATAGTAGGCTTCATGTCTTTTCTGCAACTATTTAATTCACATGTTCTGCTGAGTCATTCAATTATGATGTGTCAGATATAGTCATTTCATATACTATTTCTTTACTCTGACAGTAGGTCTTAAGTTCTTGACTTTTGAACTCTTCTTCATCATCTCAGTGTAGAGTTTCAACTCAATGTTATGTAGTTGTCTTAATACTTATGATGAAATTCATTAATCTTGCAGTAGATTCTCTCTTTCTTATCATAAGAATTACTCATCTATAATGAGTTGTATTGTCTGTTATACTCAATCAGTAGCTTACACTCTCTCTAGTGAGGGTGTCATTTCTGTTGAAAAGTGTTTTTCCATCCCCTGCCAGATCAATGAAGAATCTCATTATCAGCTTGATAGCTCATGTCATAGATGTGAAGATTGAACATGTCATTTTTACCTGAACACAGACTTTGCAGAATGATAAAGCTTGTTAATCAATAATTCTCATCTCTAGGCATGAATCTACTGTCATTTTTGCAATATCTGCAGAATTTAGATGTTCTAGTTTTTGATGTCATTGCATCATCATAAGTTCTATAACCTTTGCATCATTTCTTTCAGATAGTGTCAATATTGTGTCATCTTTCACCTGTAATGTGTTCACAGGTTTAAAATCATCATTGAGCATAGCAAATCAGATCAAGTCTCTGTATGTAATCAGTCTTTTCATCTCATAGATATCATTCTCATTTAATCTTGCTGTAAATGAGAACATGCAGTTGAGAGACATAATCAACATAGTATGATTATTTTCATATATCAACTGCTTATAGATATAACCCTGATGTACAAGCTTACTCATACTTATGAGATTCACTTCTAACTTTGAGATATAGCAGACATCATTTAACAGCATATTCACTTCTTTCACTGAAATCTTCATATCTTCTATAGCTGCAGCAGAGACTATCATTTCATCTGTCATTTTCAACATCACTTTCACCTTCTGAGGTTTTGTCATGACAAGATCTCTGTGAGGTGTGGCATAAGTACCTGATTCAGAGTCTAGAATTCAGATATCTTTTCCTGTCTAGTCACTCACATAGACCTTTTCTTTGATACAAAATACTTGCTTCATAACATTGTGAACAGGAGCAGCATCTGTATTCTTTACATTCTTGTCTTTATCCTTGTTTCTATTGGTGTTGGAATTCAAATTCAAAGGATGTTTCTCAGAGTATTTCTTCCAACAGTCAGTCTGAATATGATCAATCTTTTGATAATGATAGCAGGTTCTCACATCATTATCTCTACATTCAGGTTTGAATTCAGTGTTCTTGTTCTTGTCATTGTCTTTCTCTTTGTTCTTGTCTTTCTTATTCTTATCTTGCGCGTTGTTGATAGGATTTCTAGACACATCAGTATTTGCTTCATTCACAGCAGAGAGCTGCAAAAGAATATCACAGCACAGACTTATAAAATCATTCTCTAAGGATTGAGTATTATCTTTGTCAATTTAATTCATTTAATTTCTTATGAATGAGGCTCAATCTCTGTTGACTTCTGTAAGTAATCTATCAAAAAACACAACATCTTCAATCTTATATCTCAGACAGATATAATCAGTTCTGATGATAATTAATCATTCAATGAAAGCTCTGTCAGATTCTTTGCTTTTGAAGATCATTTCAATAAGCTCTTTAAATAAACAAGTTCTGCATACAGCAGGCCTCTTGAAAAAGTTATTCTCTATGATAGTTCATAGAGTATAAGCTGATAATTTGAACTTCTTAGATATAGTGAAATAGGCCTTGACCTGCAGAGCAATTGCAGATCATATGTAATTATATAATCAAAGATTGCATTCTTTTCAGAAACATTGCATGTCTATGATGACATTCTCATTAAGATCATTATTCTCAAGAATATCATTAGTTTCAGACTGTTCTGCAGTCAAAAGAATTTCCTCTCTCCACATTGAGTAGTTAATGAATTCAGTGAGAACTATTAATCTTTTGATAAGTCTTACTTAGCTTCTGAATTCTTCAAGAACTTTCATTATAACAGATGTCTTCTCTTTTCATTGAAGATATTCTGCCAGGTCTGCTTTCATCTCATCACCTGCAGAGTCATCTCTACTGATCTTCATTTGCTCAACCTCATGCTGAAGTCTTGCAATTTCTAGTCTCATGTGAGTCTTCTCACTCACTGAGCTATTGTCATTTCAGTCACTTGAGCTCTCTGCATTGCCTGACATCTCACTGATGCCTTCAACTGAGTCTTCATATACATTGAACTTGTCAGACTGTTCTTTCATAATCATGTCATTTAGCTCAAATGCCTCAGAAGCCGCCTTCTGATTCATTATTGATGTTAGTAGTAATCTGTGATCTTGCATTTGCTGCTCTGATGTTTTCTCATTTCTTCATCTTGAAGACACATATTCTTTTATTAAGTCAGACATTCCCCCGAATCTTAGATTAATCATGGGTTCAATCACTCAATAAATCATCTAGGCATGCTTGTAACAACATGTGAAGATGTCAATTGTACATTATTTTGCAGCTTTTCATTGTGTAGAGAGCTTCATAACCTCTTGAAGAATAACATTGTTGTGTTGTAATTTAACTACGCGAGTTACACTAAATAGGTTGAGGTGACACGTGACTAGAGTAGGTGTAGTAATCATCAACAAAACATTCATTATCTTCTTATTAGAAAATGATTACTCACATATTATCTCCTCATTAGAAATAATTATTTATTGAGAGATATTCAAACATGTAACAATATATAAGAAAAGAGAAACAATCAGTTAAAGCAGATACTGAGTTCTCAGATAGAAGCTTGCTTACCAGTCACTCTGACTCTGTAATAAGATCTTATAAGAGAATATCAGTGAAAGATCTGAGAGTTCTGACATCTCAGATGTATAAGATATTCATACAATTACACATTCAATAATTGATATAATCATATCTAACAATAATATGAAACCCTTGAATATGAGTATAGATATAATGTCACAGTGACTTTAAGCAATGTTGAAATTACAATAATAATAAATAGCTGATATGCATGTAACTCAATAACTTCAATATAAAGAGATTTAATAATTAACTCATGTAATTTCAATATCTATAGAATTGAATATAAAAGTGCTGAAAGAACACTTAGATGCTTCTATATATTTCAATACTTTCAATCTCACTCTCTACTCATCATGAAGAATGAAAATGCTCATGAAACTGAGTGTAGATGAAGATATCATCAGTTTATTAATCAATCAAGATTGATATATCAATGAATAATTGAAGAATTGTATGAAATAGAAGTTTCACTTATAAATGAAAGTATATAAATCAGTGTTGTAAATATCTGACAATATCATCAAATATCTTAATATTCTGTTTCAAGACACTGCTATGCAACAGAGAGTATTAGATTAATTACAGAGTATCTGACAGAGAAACATTTCTCTTACAATATTCATCTCTGACTTTGATATCAAGATCTTAGAAGTAGATGATCAATCTTGAGAGAATTGAATGAAGATTAGCATGCTTAAGAAGACATTAACTTTTGAACTCTTACAGACTCTTATAAGTGTAAATAAAGACTCAACTTATAAAGACTTCTGCACACAGCTCTGAACATTGAATGACTGTCTTATCAAGCTCAAGAGTATACAGAACAGTGATAGAAGACATTACATCTCAGTCACTTATACACTCACACTGAAGAACAGCAATGATGCAGATATCATGAACTGAATAGATTTAAATATCTATATATAAGCAAGAGTTTTCATTATTCAAACAGGCTTTCAAGTCTCTGAGATCACTTCTGAAGAAGTCACTGATTAATGTCAATGTGAAGTATGCATTAACTGTAATTAATCAGAACACATTGCTTTCAACTGCTGATTAACCTACATATCTTCTCACTTAAAGAATGAATCAGTGTCTGTCTACATCAATCACATTGTAGTGAAGAAAGATTTGAAAGATGACTATAAGAATGTCTCAGTGAAACAGAGAAAAGATTAGCTTCTATTCAAATTCATAAACAGAAGCTTGAAGAGATTGAATAATAATAATTTAAAGAGAAAATAATACTGAATGTGATTCTTATATCTACTATGATTGATAACATGTATAATATAAAAGCCATGATAGACAGCAGTCTATATCACTATACAATGATAAAATCTTCAGTTATAAGATGTTATAATCTTCAGTGTATCTTCTTATCAAAATTCTGACTTCTTGCAGAATTTAATAATCTGAAAGATGTTTGCATCTGTTATATAATAAAACTAAATATAGATATCAGAGAACATCAGTATGAAAATATCTATATATATAAAGTTGATAATCTTGATTATAATCTGATATTAGAACTTGCCTGACTATCTGAACAAGGTATCTTATTAAATACTTGAAACAGGAGTTTAATATTCTCTAATAATAATAGAATTCATGAAGATGATATTCACAAGACTATGAATCTGATACAGATCTCTGTCAACACTTATAAAATTCTCTGAAAAAGAAGTTATCAAAATCACTGACAGAGTCACTGACAAAGTCACTGATAATAGAATTATATATCAATCTATTTCATCAGTCTGACTAATATTAAGAAAGCTCTAGAAAAGTTATTCTATACTATAATAATAGATTCTTGTACAAAACTCTTTTAATAATATTATGAATATCTAGATGTCTTCTGATAAGATAATATTATGAATATATCTTCTTTACAAGGCTTAGAAGTGAATCACAGTATCAAGTTAGAAAAGAAGAGCCCCGGTGGCCGAATGGTTAATGCGGCATCCGGTAGCGCCTTGGCGTGGGAAACCAGGGCATGTGAGTTCGAAACCCGCAGAGAATACATTAAATCCGGAACTCAAGCACCTCAGGTTTCTAATAAATACAGAGGTGTACAAATCGCTTCAATAAAATTGCTCTATGTTCCTGGGCTGGGAAGTTATTATCGTATGTATTTAATTGTCACTTCTTTGTATTTTCTATGTTCTTGTTATCTTGGTGTGGTCTTAACACCTGTATTTCCTCCTGTATAATCAACACTTAGCCTGTATTTAACATCACGCAAGGACTCATCATAAGCTCCGCTTGTATATGAGTATAATGAAAGAATAATAATAATAATAATAATAGAAAAGAAGAATGATAAGAACTCTGAGTTATTATAAAGCTCTCTTTATAATATGTTTTAAGATGAACTTCTTCTTCTTCAGAAGACACTTAATAATCTGTTAGATAAGAATTTTATATAAGTTAGTAACTCTTTCACTGCAGCTTCTATTCTCTTTGTAAAGAAGTCAGATAAAGAACTTTAATTCTGTGTAAACTATCAAGATCTGAACAGATTGATAAAGAAAGATCAATATTTCTTATCTCTTATCAATGAAACTCTAGCATAGATCAGATAAGCTCAATGATTTATAAAGCTAGATATCATTACTGTGTTTCATAAGATTTATATCACTGAAGAAGATAAATGACTTACAGCATTCTGAATATATTATAATCTCTTTGAATAAATAGTCATACTCTTTGAACTGATTAATGCTCTCAGTACATTTCAGAAGTATATTAACTGAGTACTCTGAGATTTTCTTAATGAATTTGTATCTACTTATCTAGATAACATTCTCATCTTCACTGATAAATTCAGAAAGAAATATCAAGAGTATGTATAAAGAGTATTACAATGACTATAAGAAGCAGAACTCTCAATTAATATTGATAAGTATGATTTTAAAGTCAAGAGTACTAAATACTTAAATTTCATCATAGAAGCTGATAAGAAAATCTGAATGAATTCTGAGAGAATCTCTGCTATTTTTGAATGAGAGATTTTATATACTGTGAAAGATGTATAAAGCTTCATCAGATTTACTAACTTCTATCAGCAATTTATATAAAACTTTTCAGATATTATAAGATCACTTACAGAACTCACTAAGAAAGACTTAGTATTTCAATAATTAGTGAATACTGAAGCTGTATTTATACAGATAAAGAAGATATTTATTAATACTTCTCTGCTAATAACATTTGATTCTGATTATAAGATAGTTATTAAAGCTGATTTCTCTGATGTAAGAGGCCTACACTGAATAGATCAGTATAATATTAATAGGTCTTATATAACAAAGATCAAAATGTTAGAGAAGAAAAGAAAGAGAAAGTGTGAGAATCAGTGATCAAAATGAATATTTATACACGTATGTAATAATGTACGCGGTGAAGCTTCGGGGCGGAAGAATATACGCATGTTTGTAGTGGCTGAGAATTGACAATTGAGAATGACTGAGAATCGGAGTGTACATGTTTGAGAATGAAGTGATTGAAATCTGTGAAGTGTAATGAAATAGTCTATATGATTGATCAGATGCAGTCTGTCACATTAGTCTCTTCTTTCAGAAGCAGTTCTCATCAGTCAAGAGCTGCTGTTTCAGATAATATGAAACTCAGAGTTCAGGTCAGTTAATTATAGCTGACTCATTTCACAAGATATTACTGACTGCAGTCACAGAGTCTCTCATTGAGAATATTCTCAATCTCTCACTCAAGCTCATTATCTTCTTCTATGATGTCTGATGACTGTCAGTCAGAAGTCAGTTGAGAAGAGAATGAATTGATGATAGTGCAGTGAAGCAAGCTTGTGTGAAATACATTATAAATCTCTAATAATGTGTCAAGACAGTAGTTATAACTATCTAGAACTTCTATCACTTTATACTTGATGTGATGATAATCTAGTGTACAAGATGAATGTGTGATTTATATATTCTTAAGATTCAATCATACCAGATCTTCTATCTTATATTGTTCAGTGAGATCTCAGTGAACATTGATTTGATTCTCTTGATCTTGTTTTACAGTTGTCATGAAGACCTCTGCTCAATCACAGGCATCTCAGAGCTTCATTACTATATTGTCAGTGATATGAATTGAACTGCAGAGATTCAGTGTGAACTGTGTGATCTCTAGAAGATTTAACACTTTCATGTGATATCTGTGAGTAAGAAAGAACAGACTTATATCTGTTAAAACAGCATCTCAACTGTTGATAGTGATCTCTGTGTATAGAAGAAGATCATGTCAATTATCTTGTAAATAGTTGCAGAACTTATAGAGATAATTCTTCATGATCTGAATTGTCTGTTCTGATGCATCATCAGTCTCAGAGTGATAGACAGTTAATAGATGATATGTAATCTTAAGAACTTGACAGATTCTTGTTCAGAGAGCACTCATAAATTAATAACCTCAATTCAATACTATAGATCTCAGTAATTCATATATCTGATAGAATGAGCTCTGTAGAAAA